TCTGGCCATTCCACTTTCCTCCTGTGTCTCAAAGATGTGCACGCTAGATCAATTGCATGTCTAAAGTGTCCAGTCCAAGTGAGTGTGGGTGTGGGGTTTATTTCCAGTGATGGAAGGACATCCTGTCCTATGCAAGGTGGACCTGACCTTGCACCCTGAGCTGCTGGGTGAGCTCCGACCATCAAGAATGTTGAACTGGAATAATAAATGGAGTGGAAGATAAATGAATACAAATAATTTCTTAATGTTAGATGTGCTTGGATCTTTATTTAGAGGTTTAGGAATGTTTCAAAGAGAAACTTAACTCTTGCTCTTATCAATTAGCCTGTGGCAAAACTGTTTTTTTTTTTAATTATTTATTTATGCATACAGAACTGGACTGGGGTGCAGACCAGAGCTGCAGGGACGGTGAGAGGATTCACCAGGGACAGAGTGGGGAGCAGGACAGTTCAACTGAGGAAGGACACTGCTGAGGGGAGCAGTAGGCAGGTCAGGAGAGGTCTGCGCATCATGTGGGTCACCCCAGGACTGGGGATCAAACTTGCCCTGAAGTGGCTGTCTCCAACTTTAATCTACTGAGTCACTAGGGAGGGCCCAAAACTGTTTTTGTTATATGAATGACAAATATTTGTCATTCAAAATCAAGAGTTTATGGGTGATGTGGTGGTGGGAAGCCCATGGGGATTACAACTGAGATGGAAAAGGCACAAAATGATGTAAAAATAAACTAGCTACGGGAGAATGGTATTTTAAAATTTAGCAGCTATTGAATAAAGCAACACAGGTGATAAAAGGGGGACAATGTCATAACTCTCACTCACAAAGTCAGAAAACAAGCCACAAGTTAGGAAAGAGACGTAGGATTGAGCCAGAGCCTCCATGGGGAGATAGAACCTGACATCACTTGACAGATTTTGCAGAATCACCACACACTCCTGTAAAGTGTGTAGAGATCATTGCCATCTTCAAGAGTTTCAGTGGCCTATAAATAGGATTGGGTAAGGTGTGAATGGTAAGTGATACATGTTTGATCTTTTGTTCTGAATTGCACAGCAAATACATTTGTGCTTTTAAAATTAAGGCATGGAATCTACTTTTTCATCTTTCATTTTTTTTTAACTGCAAATGATATGTGAGAGAGCACCTTGTCTATTGAGTATGTAGATCTAGAAATAAAAAAATAGAAGATAGTTTTTCATTATTTATTTAGCTGGAACATACAGTACATGAAACCTGTGGGCTGCAGACAGGGTTTCCATGGAAACAATTCTATATGAAAGAATGCCTGATGCTGGCAGATTTTCTGCTACCATCATCAGCCATGGCAACATTTGTGACTCCCACCATTTTAACATGACTGATTTGCTTGGATGTTGCCTAGCCTTTCACTTCTCTGGAAATCTAAAATCAGTCAAATGTGTGCATCTGTTTCAGTGAATTTCTAAAGATGTTAAGCTGACTTTTAGTCTCCATTAAATTAGACTCTAGTGTGGATTTTTCAAACCCAAAATTGATGACTCCTGGCTACTTTGTAATATTTATATACGTGGTCCTGAGAATTAGGAACCACAACCTCCAGGAATTTGTTTTCAGAGTAACAGATTAAAGAGCTCTGGGTGTTTTGGTGGTGCATGTGGGTGCAACACCACTGAATGGGGAGATTTCATACCTCTAAATTATAATTAACATTGTAAGCCAATGTTAATTAAAAAAAAAAAAACAGCCAAACTGACCATCTGATTTCGAATTTCCCTTCTATAATAAGTGGAAATTGTGCACCTTTTCATATATTAGTTAAATCCCAGAAATTATTTTAAAGGTTTTTTTTATAAATCACTTTATATAAGTGGATCTTGCAAATCTTTTTTTTTTTTTAATTGCAGGCTGTGATTCTGACTATTGCATTCCTACTTTTGTTGTTTTTTCAACATGACCAGTGTTGACGAAACACTGTTCTGAATAGGCATATATCTAGTTCGGTATTCTTTGGCTAAAAATTTATAAAAACTAAAGCATTAACTTGTATGATTAAATCCACTTTTGGTAAGTGCCTTTTGTTTTCCGTAACAAAAATAAATGATGCAACTGTGAGAGATACATACAACCGCCCATGCCCTCTACCCTCAGGTAATGGAGAGTGCTGCAGACCATTATGACTAAGACTCATTCTGGCTTAACTTCTCTTTCTCTTTCCAGAAACTTTTCTGGATCATCTGTATTCCGTTTGGGCCCTTCCCTTTTCTGCTGATCCTGTGCATAGCATTTTTATAGTACAGTGTTTGCAGAATATCCTCAAACTTGGAAACTAGCTCAAATCAAATTTTACTGTTCATCACACTTTGCCTGGCTAGAACTAAGAAATGGTGATATAACCAAATCTGTTAAGCTGAAGACTGTGCCCCTTCTTTCTAGTGGAGCAGTGATTTAAGGTTATAGTCTAAATTACAAATTTCCTACTAAGCAGAAGCTTAGTCTAGACATTTTCTGGATGCCCAAGACCACTAATCACATACTTCCTCTACTCCTGGTCATACGCCTTTGACAGTCTTTCCCATATAGCCATTTGAAGTCCAATATAGCTCAGGTAAAATGTTTCTCTAAATTGAGATGCGCAGATTAGTCTTGTAGGTTAACAACTGTAAAATAAAACTGAAGATTCTTATTTCACAAATAAAACTTTAGTTTTTTAACTCGGTGTTTCCAACCTATAGTCTGTGGATGTTCTGGGGTCTCTTAAAAAAAGCTTTAAAGGAGTTTTGCATTATCAGACTTGAGGACATTTGTTAAACCTGTTCCAAAAGGGAAAAACCTTGAGACACTCCCTCTTCAGACTGTTCCCTCTCTTCACATATTACTTTAAAAGCAAGATGAAAGCCATGAACCCACTCTCCTAGAAAAATGAACTACTCAGATTTTTAGTGAGTTCTAGAAATCTGGAGAACAAAAAAACAACAAAAATATAAGCTAACAAAAATCCAAACTCAGGCTAAAAACCACTACAGAATAGCCATTTCCTACCCTAATACAAAATATTTTAACATTCTTTTAGGCCTTGTGATTGTCTAACAAACTGCCTTCTTAGCAGATCTATTTCTGAAATATGTACATTTATCATTAATTTCTGCTAACATCTATGATAGTATTTCCTGCAATAGGTGTTTTATAGTGTAATGGTACAAGGATATGTTCTATAGGGAAAAGCAAATATGGAAAATAATATTTTCTATCTATCTAGCCATCCATCTTAAACAACTGAAATCACCATTTTGTAGGTAAACTGTTTATGTTTCAAACCGTACTTAAATACCTTTTTTCTTCTGTCCTTAAATGTTGTTCTGCTCTCAACTTTGCCAAAGAAAATTCATTTGAATTTTTATTGCTGCCCATAAGTACATCAGCAATTATACTTGGTCTAAAACCAAACTATTAAAGAGTACTAATCATTTGCTTTGGATGAATCAGCTACTCAGCTTGTTTAACCATGTCCATGGCAAATCGTTATCTGTGATGAAATGCTGCAGGATTCTTAGTTAAACACGTTTTAAGAGTGGTGAGATGGATGGGGGAGAGAAGACATGCTCCCCACCCCTCTCGAATGGCAGGGTAGAGAACTATGACAGGTTTAAAGAGCTGCAGTAACAGGCTCCATACACTGTAGTGGCTACTGACACTAACAGTGTTAGAAACTCACCTCTGCCAGTACAGACCATCACCTGCTTAGCACATTTTAAAAGGGAGTCTATGTTAACAGTTTACTTCTTCGTCTTTATTGTTATAATTTGGTCATATCTTATTACAAACAATTGTTGCCTAACTTCAATATAAATAAAAAGTTCTCATATAAAGTGAGTTTGTTCTAGATGAGAGACTTGGTATCAAGCAACTACAAAACAAACCAATGTCAAATCTATTCCCAAACTTAGGAGTAGAAATAAAGGGCCCTTAGAAATGCAGGCACCCTCAGCCACATACATGGGGTTAGCATTTATGAATATATGCTTACACCTTTCTACTGACTGTGCAGAAGACAACTTAGTTTTCTTCACTGGCAATGTTTATTATTTTACCTTTTGATATACCAATTTGTACCTCCTTTCCAAGACATGAAGAAATTATACACGTCTCATTCACCAGTGATACCATAGGCACAGAATGTATGCACAGTCAAAAATGAGATGTAATTTCAATGCTGCTAGTAGCTCAAAACAAGTGCTTTGGTCTGATAAGTGGTATGAAGAAGATATTTCTGAACTTAATTTCAGGCACACTATAGTAACTTTTTCCTTGGTTTTCTGGACATAATTGCTATATAAATTTAGAATAAGATTAAGTCTCAGAAAAAGTAGAGAAAGCCTTTAGGAATATTGGCAATTTATCTACAGGAAAGGACACAAATGTGTTTCAGCAACCATGAATGCATTAAACTATAGCGTACTTGCAACATTATCTGACAATGAAACCTCGTAATTTTTAAAACTGTTCAGTTTATAGTCTATTAAAAATATTCTTGTATTAAATGTTTAGACCTCAGAGCTTATATTGTTATCAAACATGAAATGTCAGAGTGAAGACTTTATGAATGCATATTATATGAGCACACAAATTCACTCTACAAAATGTGAGTTTTTAACACTTTTAAAAAGAATCCTGTGTTTAACAATATACTGTTTCCCCTATCACTGTATTATAGGACATGACTATTTATTTTTAAATAGTCTGAGATTGTAAAGACAGCAAGCTAAGTAGGTAATTTCTTCAAGCTTATTTCAGGTACCTTAGCCAAACACCCTGGAAAAGGCGAGAAACAGACATACAAGGGATTACTTCTCTTTCCGCACTTAAGTTCTCTGACTGTCATCCAGAGCGGGGTAAGGGTGCTTTTTTTACAACAGAATAGAAATCAGTAATTGAGAATATAAAAGAATTAGAAGGCAATGAAACCAAATATTTACATTGTCTAAGAAATTTTAATTTATAAATCAGAAAAAGAAAGACAACACCAGATGGTATCACACGTATGTGCAATACAGACATAAAATAAAGGCACAAATGAAGCCAAACCAGTAACAAATCCTAGAAATCCGACTACACAGCTGAGGCCACCAGTGTGGGGGGAAGGGAGAGATGAAAGTGGAAGCACAACGGACTATGTGAACTATGGCTATTTGGGGGGTGAGGTGTGAAATACTATATGAAGGGGAAGATCCTATATCTCTAAATCAAAGTGTTATAAGCCAGCATTACTTCAATTACCTATACAGTCCTCCATTGTGATAAGCAGGTAAATGCCAAAATGTATGTAATTTTGAGGGGTCTTTCACAAAATCAGATAACCGTTTTACTTTGCTATCACACAACAAAAGAAGCAAGATTTCATCACTAGTGCTTATTTAAGGGCCTCAAACTGTGTCCCCAATAAGATGCTACTAGCTAAGACGTCTAATTTCAAGCCAGAAAAAGCTTAGTAAATGACTGAAGTGTAATAAAATCCAAAATAAAACTTTGTACTATATTTAAAAAGGTAAATTTATAAAACTAAACAGACATATCAATGACACCTGCTATCTTAAACCTTGTCCTTAAAAATAGACCAAGATAGAAGCATCTGGGGATTTTAAATACTAATTTATGTAGCAGGTTAACATTACAGCAGATTGAAACTCAGATATTACTCATTTCTTATTCATCAAACATCCTGAAACTTTTAATGCACTTAATATCCACCAGCTCTAAGCAAGAAATAAAAAAAGAAAAAAAGCACAGGAGTGAAAGAGGATAGAATGTAAACCGGTATGTTAGCTAGAAAACAGGAAGAGAAATTGTTCTACAGCCCTCACTGTCCACACAGTGCTTTCCTTACACATCCTCAAGGCCAGTTACATGGACACAGATATGGAAGATTAACTAGGGTCTACTAGTCAAAGGCATTCAATCTGGTACTTAACGACATATGAGCACACATGGATTTTAAGAAATGACCTTTGGTGAGTCCTGAAACTACGTTCTGTTGCAGGTCTCCACTGTACAATCTCAAATCCATTCTTTAACTATCTAATAGTGGACAAGTTATACAATTACCATGAAATACCAACCCCTCCCTTTTCCTACAGAAGGGAGAGGAGACAGTTGTTGATCTTAGTAAAACAAAGATGCTAGCTTAGGGAGTAATTTTCATTTCACTTCACCAAATTTACAACTGTAGTTGTAAAGATGTAAAGATATCACCCACATTCAATCACATGAATGTCAATACATTACTGTAGGAAAAGGTTAACATAAAGGATTCTCTTAAGTGAGAAGCTGAGTAGAACACTGGATCTACTTCATACTAAATGGCAGTTAAAAATCTAGGAGCACACAATCTTAGAAGCATTAAGGTGGAGATGATGAAAATAGAAGTATTTCTCTTCCAAATGAGATGATTCGCCTCCTCCTCTTAAAACTCCAAACACAGATGGAGTTGACAAGACAGCTCTGACAACCACGTGAGAAGCTAGATACATCTGAACAGCTATAGTTTCCTTTCCCTCTTTTTCCTAATCAACTCTCACATCACCACCACTCACCCACTAGAACTCCAAAGTAGGCAGATGGCCAACAAGCTGGTATATATTCACCTTGAATTCTCCACTGATGAAGACTAAATCCTGAAGCTAACCCCTTGGGGGAGCGGCATAGCTCACTTAATTTTGATTTATTGTGCTTCAGGTTCTGCATTTCTCACAAACGGGAAGGTCCAGGCTCCCCTGCATCTAGCAAGGCGATTGTGCCATTTTCCAAGAGTACATGCTCACTTAGGGTCTGGGCACATTAAAGTAAGGTACTTTAGGACACACGTTAAAGTAAGGGCTTTTTAGGACACACATTCTTGCACACTTAAAAGACTATGGTACAAGGTGAACTTAACTTTTCTAGGCTCCAGCGAGCAGGAAAGTTGGTGTGACACTCTAGCTTGGGGTATTAGCTCTCTTGCAGTGCCTGGGCTGAACAGAATAAGCAGTTATCTACAAGGTGCACCTGTCTCTGTTCCAGTTTGCTAACTCTCCTCTGAGCTACTAAGTGAAAATCTGAGGCTAAAGCCCAAGAATGCTTTTTTAATAATCTATTCAAAGCTTAGGTGTTTGGTACTGGTAGTATCCATGTAACCTCAAATTTCGAAAGTCCTGAAGGGAGGATGACAAGTAGAACTGCAGAGTTTCAGGGAGGAACTTAATTAAATGCAAGAGATGAAATGGTATCATTCAGTTTTGTAAAATATTTACTGTTCAGTTCTTAGAGACTGAAAGATTTCCTAACCGCCATAGTGATTCAAAAAGCTTGCAGATTCACCATAACTAGATGGCAATGTCTTATTTTTTTCCGTTCTTGCAGAAAATTGCTTTTTGGGTTTTTGAGTGCTTTTAGACACCACCAAACTTTTAACACTCTGGTCATTCACAGGACTGTATAATTAAGGAAGGCAACTTCAAAGAAAAGCTGCAAAAATAATTGAAGATAATTAAAAAAAAAATACAACACAAGAGGGTGTCACAGAATGACAGATCAAAAAGCACCAATTTAGTAGAAAGTGCTGACCTGAGACTCGAGAACTAGGATGTCCTTGTCATCTCAATGAGTAGTGTTACTTATCTTTGTTGGACTCCTCAGGTTCTTCTATATTTATTAAATGAGGACCACTTTAGATGACTTCTTAAGGCTTCTATTTCTAAAATTCTGAACTTTTCTTATATTTACATGTCATGGTGTAAAATACTTACTAGACATTTAATTAAAAACTCTAAATTCAATGAGTCATTCAATAAACACTAAGCACCTAATCTGTGCCACACATACAGGAATCTGGGAGACAGACATGGGAGACGCGGTCTCTTAATACAGAGTTAAACACACTTTGTGAATAAATGATACCTCATTGTAAACAGTTCCTATATCCCTTTAAGTGGTTAAATGGTAAACTCTGACTCGTATCCAAACAATGAAAACCTGCATCTATAATAGAAAGCTTACTTTAATTACATATTTTTTTAAATTATAGTCATCTCTTTTGTCAATATAAGGTTTGCCTCTTTCACTTGCTTACAAAAAAATTAAGATATTTAAACTTAACTGATAAACTGAATTTATAATCAAATTTCCAAAGTTTACAAAAATAGTTTATTTTAAAGACTCGAACAGTTCTTTAATATCGTATTTTCAAATATACCAAGTCAGTTAATGTGCTTGGTATGTCTGGATCCATGATGAAAGTTGCTGCAGATGTATTCTCAGACCTATGCGTCTTTTAACTGGGCAAGGACGGGAAAGCATAGATGCAAAGTTTTAAACATCACACATTTGAATTTTCCCTCCATGAATTTGAAGTGGTTTTCATATAGATACATCTTCACTAAGGTTACAAATATAAACTTACAAATCATGGACTCATTTAGTACTTTACAATGTTTTAAAAATCCAGTTCTGTAAATCGCTTTCTTTAAAAAACAAAATCCTTCCTACACAATATTAAAAATCTACATTTTTCTGGAAATGCATACATTTATCTAATCCGCCTAATAGTACGACCCAAAATGGGAATTACTGTCTCCAGAAGAAGGGGGTGGCGGCAGGGGTGGCGGGGGCGGCGGGGGCAGGGAGTAGGGCATGGGGAGCAGGGGCTGCGCGGCCCAACCCACGTTTAAAGCTGCTGGTGGGGGCGGTGGAGGAGGTGGGGGAGGCGGGAGTGAAAACGTATGCATGTCAAAGGCTGGAGGAGGAAAGGGATACTGAGGCATGATGGGATTATCTTGTCTCTGAGGTGGGAATCCTAAAGTCTCCTGAGATACCGCATGCTCTGGGTTATAAAACTGCGGAGGTGGGGGTCTGCCATGACAAGGTCCAGGGTATCTACCCCGGGAAAATCCTCGAGTGAATTCTCGGTTGCGAAATCCTTTGGCGGGCTCTGAAGCAGAGCCCTGAGCACTCCAGTTCTGATGTACTTCTGCAAAATCTTCACCTTTGAGAGGGGAAAAAAACACAAAAGCATAATTTTAATACATCTGAAAATGCTCAAAATTCATGGTGCCTTCTTATGACAGATTCAGAAGTTTAAGGCTTATAATTATCACATTTAAATGAATCCAAAAGGGGGCATCCCTGGTGGTGCAGGGTTTAAGTCAGCCATGGCGCAGCCTCCCTGACACACTCACTGCTCCCCTTAGCAGTATATTACAGTAGATCTGCCTGTTCTGCTCCCCACTCTGTTTCTGGAGTATCCTCTCACATCCTCTTCTAATCCTTGTATGCATAAATAAATCTTTTTTAAAAATAAATGAATGAAGACAGTGGCTCAGGAAAAAGGAAAGCCTACCAAGACAGAACTTTCAGACATTAGCCAGTCGACTCCAACAAATCTCACACAGAAAAGCAGACATCATTCCCAGCCACACTTCAGGCCGACCAAGGAGCAGGGACCTACCGCGGACAGGCGCAATGACATACTGCAGTCCTGCTGCTAGGTGGCTGTCAGAGAAGCTGAGGAGAAGCGAGGCATGAGGTCTCCCTGCACTGACGTGGAGGTCACATAGAAAGCCAGGTCTCCCACATCCACTGAGAGAAACAGGTCTCCTTCACTTCCCACACTGGAAGTTTTATCGGTGAAGACTGGGAAAGAGTCAGAATATTCCTCACACCCAGGGGTAAGGAACTCATCCTCTATTGGTGTCAGGGGAGAGTAACAGGGAAGCCCTACCCTGTTATGCTCAAGGGAGGCCTGTGCTACCAAGGTAGCCTCAATTTAAATAAGATTCAGAATCAAATATTATACAGTGTGTCCAGGCTTCAATTAAGACTCACTTGTCAGGCTCTCTCTGGTGGCACAATGGGTTAAAGCACATTATGAAGCTCTCGGAAGCAGCATGAATTCAATCCCCAGCCAGGGAGCTGACCCACATGGTGTGGCAGACTTTACTCATCTGCCCACTGCTCCCCTCAGCAGTGTAATTCAGTACATCTGCCTGTTCTGCTCCCCACTCTGCCTCTGGTGAATCCTCTCACCCACCACACCTCTGGCCTGTACACCAGTTCTGTAAGCATAAATAAATCTTTAAAAAAAGAATCACTTGTCAAACCCAACGCCAAAAAAAATTTAAAAGTCAGGGTCCTCCCTGGTGGTACAGTGGGTTAAAACTGCAGCACTGCAAGCTAGCCATGGCCACTTTACTGGGAGTTCAATCCCCAGGTCTGGAGCTAACCCACAGCATGAATTCAATCCCCACCACATGGTGGGGCAGACCTCTCCTGTCTCGCCTGCCTGCTGCTCCCCTCAGCGGTGTACTTTGTTGATCTGCCTGTTCTGCTCCCTGTTCTGTCTCTGGTGAATCCTCTCATCACCCCTGCACCTCTGGCCTGTACCCCAGTTCTATATGCATAAATAAATCTTTTTAAGAAATTTCAAAGTTAGTGAAAAAGGAAAATTAAGATATGTTAGAAGTATTGTTAGAATTATCAGAGACATGTTTTAAAACAATGATCAACAGTAAACTACAAACACATTCAAAGTAATGAATAGAAAATCAGTTAAAAAGTAGAGAAGAAACACATTTTAGAACAAAAAATCTAGCAATCCAAACAACATACTTAATAGAAACAACAGCAAAGCAGACAGACACAAAAATGAAGCTCCTGGAAGATATGATGGAAAACATCCATCTACAGGGAGAAGATAAAATGGTGGGGGTGGTATGGGAAATGAATTCCAGGGCCTCTAGGACTACAACAAAAAGTAAGCACTTGTATCACTAGAAGAGACAAATGAGCCAGAAGATATCTTGAGGAAATAATGACTGAACATTTTAAAATTTTACCTAAGACTCAATTTCAAATTAAAAGATGAATTCAGGAAGTTAGAAAAACAAAGAAGCTAACCTGGTAACATCCAGGTATCAGCTATTTTATTTAAATGCCTCAGCTCACAGCTTTGTTTCCTGTATCACCCTCCATGTGAGGCAGCCAATTATTTGTCTTTCTGGCTAACTTCACTTTGCATAATCCCCTGGAATCCCCATTTTGTACCAAAGGTAATATTCCATCTTCCCTTGCAGCTAAATAGCAGGCCATTGTACAAATTCTTTAACTATTAGGCTAACAGGGGCACAAGGCTCTCTGCATGACCAGCTCTGGTAAACAATGCCACAGGGCTCTCTGCATGACCAGCTCTGGTAAACAATGCCACAGGGCTCTCTGCATGACCA